GAAGTGGTGCGCTTGTTGCTGGAACATGGAGCCTCTTGTGACCAGGCTGTGACAGATGTCGGCGAATTTCCATTGTTCAGAGCTGCTGCAAACGGTCACCTAGAAGTGTTGCGTTTGTTGCTCCAAGCTGGAGCCTCTTGCGACCAGGCCATGACAGACTCTGGTGCAACTCCTTTGCATTGTGCTGCTCAGAACGGTCACGTGGAAGTGGTCCGCATGTTGCTACAGGCTGGCGCCTTTTGTGATCAGGCAGCCAGAATCAATGGCTGGACACCTTTGCATTGTGCTGCGCAGAACGGTCACGTGGCGGTGGTACAATTGCTGCTTGAGTTTAGTGCTGCTCATGATGTGATGACGGAAGATGAACTCGCCACTCCTTTGGAGCTTGCAGCTGAGCACAGTGAACACCGGCAAGTGGTGCATTTGTTGTTTGTAGCTTCGGCCAAGAGACTCAAGAGAGAGCAGACCTGACAGACCTGACACCTGATATCAGCTGCTTAAAAAAATCATCGAGCTGCTTGAAAAGCATGGCACAAGAGTCGGCACACCTGGCATGTCAGACATGCTGCAACGCCCGGTTTCAGGGCTTTATCCCCCCAACCCAGACGTGTGGTCTGGACCAAATGGGACTGACTCATCAACTCGCTGAAAGGTCCAAATCCTTTCGGAGGGGTTGTTGAACCTGGAGCCCCGACCAGTCCACCCAGTGGCGAGCGAAGGCCGACACCTGTTAGGTCATCAACCGGTCGGTATCCTGGCGCCATGAGCCACAGCCATATTTGCAGTAAGAGTGTAAGACTGTATCTACACAGGATGGCTCCTGCGCGGCCTTTGTTGATGCACATCGCATGTTGCAACGTTGTAAGCTGCGATGACTTAAACCCGATCATTGCAAGTGAGCTCCATCTTCCACCTCGTTGAAGCGAACACATCCAGCATGAATTGCTAAGCGTTTTGATTCACCAGAAAACACGAAGAGTGTTCCAGCCGATTCACGGGTTTTCCTACGCCTGCCGATTCACCCACCTCGAATCCCTCGAAACTCCGTCCGCCCAGGAGCCGATCAATTTCCAAGCGCAGCCGCCCACCGCGGGACACGTGTCTTGGCAAAGAACACGTGGTGTCCCGGTGCCGATTTTCGGGCACCACCCATGTCGGGCAGCTTTCAGGCCAGACACTGGGCCAGATGGCCCAGATGCGGATCGTCTTTGGGGAAGATGCTGGGTTGTTCTATCTCCAGGTCGTTGGGATTTGAGAGAAGGAGAAGATGTGCCTGGAGATCCCTCGACCCCACTGAGAAACCGACAATCCTGCAGAATAATGCAGAATCAAGGAATCAAATGGAATAACATATTTTAGAAAACACATAAATTGTATACACACACATGTTGGGTTGGATGGAAGGATGTTCTTTTTGCGCAACTTCCGCTGTGACCAAGTGACATAAAGGGACCACCACGATGTCCTTGATGTCCATGTTACCACCACGGCACGTTCTTGTCCGGCAAGCCGGGTGCAGTTCGGAAGCTGGCCATCTCATGGATCCGACCTTTGGATTCCCACCGGACCTGACATGAAACCCATCTCTTTTCAGGTCAAACGTCAAACGCCGACCTCGGCATGGCCATGGGGCCGGCCGTGCTCCTTTTCGCCTGTGCTCCTTCGGGGTGGTCGCTTGGTGCGCACGTCGCCCCACCGGCTGACGCGCGCACCTCGCTGTGGGACGAAAAGGACGTCTGGACGCCGCACGAACTCGCCGGGGGGGCCGTGTTCGGCCAACAAACCCGAAGACATCCCAAAAGCATACAAGGTATTAGAAGATTTAAATGGTAGGGAGATACTAAATGGTGTTAGAAGATACTAAATGAATTTGATCTAAATTTGATACTAAATTGGTGGGCACCAATGGACCCGGACGTCGCAGAATAGGTGCCAGCTGAATCTGGTTCTTAACCACGCGAAGCGAGCGAAGACGAGAGGAAACTCCAGCTCAGTCTGGGCATGTTGGTCTCTTAACATCTCTCAACATGTCTTTTCGACTTGATCTGGATCTACACCTTCTGCCCAAGGCTGCCGCAGCCTCTGCTCGGTGGCCGAAGAGGCTGGTTGCTTTTCCTCCGACAAAAGAACACCAGAGGCAGTGATGGTTAGGATCTTCAGAACGTGAGTCAGAGATGTACCCTAACCCACAAACCATCATAGTTTCCATGCACCCTGCAGAGCCTTTTTCCTCGCCTCAGGGCTTTTGCTCAGTTTTCCGTGATGGCCTTTCGGGAGGACATATTTTGATCCCACTGATGACCAAGTGTCACGATCCACCCAATGTTTGAGCGGGCATACAAAGAGTGCCTTCCTATTTGCAGGTCCAGTTTTTGCATCTCTCTGGGTCGATCGTGCTCTTTTGCCACGGGCTTTGTCAGAGGTCGTTGGGGGGGGTGCGCTCCGCGCGCACTCCCTGGTGGTAGGAGGCCGACCCTGCCCATGCAGCAATTTTTGGATCGACTGGCAGGTGACCCCCAGCGACTTTACAGACATGGATAGAAGTGACTCAGTGACTATCACTGTCAGAGGATGAGTGCCAGCCACTCCAAGCACGATGCTTCTAAGTGCACCAATCTTCAGTCATGCGCAGAGATCCAAAGATGTTAGGGCTTTTCAATCATGCAGATGATTGAAGGAGTTGCGAGGACCGTCCAGCTCCACATCATGGAGAGATCTCCTGTATACTCAATGCTTTTGGTTCAAGCATGGGGTGGATCATGACCCGACAGAATCCCACAGATGCCAATGTTGCAGGAAAAACTGAGGCAGATGAATTCCCCTATCACCATTGGCTGCTTTAGCAGCCTGGTGACCTGAAAGGATGGGAATCAATTCATCGGTTCTTAAAGGGGATTCCTTTGTGTCAAAGTAAATAGACCAACCCCATTCAGCCAATTCAGTATTTTTTATCTGGAGGCTGGAGGCAAGTGCTCAAAGACTACACTGCCGTGAATCGCCACAATGAAGTGTTGTGCAGTAGAATAAGGAGGACACACTTGGAACTTCCTGCCGGTTGCTCAAGTGACTCAACAAACACAAGTCCCTGCTTTAGTGGAATTCGTTCATTTCCCAGTTGTTGTTTGTTGATTCTTCCCGGCGCCTTGACCCCTTTCGACCAGGATGGCTCCCTGATCGGCCCGAGAACCTTTGGTCTGACTGAAAGGCTGGTCGGACAAAGGTCCGATGGTGTTTCATGGTGTTGCAACGACAAGGCGGAAATCAATGATACCACCATCGCTTCAAGGAAGCTTCAAGGTTTGGTGTTCGGGGAGTTTTTGGAACTCGACACTTTCTGAAACCTTTCTGAGGTTTGATTTGTTGAACAAGAAGGATTTCAGCTCTTCCGCCTTTGCCTTCATAGGAGTCCCTGTGTATATTTGGCTTATAGAAGGCTCGCAGAGGCGGAGGATGATTTGGATTTGGAGCGCAGCCTGCTCGTTCCAAAGCCCTCAAAGGCCACCCTGGTCTGTACGAGTAAAGAGAAATCCACTCGAATCCCTTTTACTCGTATCCAAAAGCCATCGAAGTCGAAGATGCAAAATGCTTTGGATGCTGCTCACTGATTTCTGCTTTCAGGGCCAAAGATTGGCTCCAAAAAGCAAACACCCACTGTGCAAAGAACGCCAGTCGGATCAGACCATTCCAGGGGTCGGGAAAAACCGCGCATGGCGGACAGTGGTGGAATCCCTCACCCAATGGATTCACATACCGAACCTGAGAAGGTGATTGGACACTCCTTTCTGTTGGTATGGGTCCAAGTACCTGCTGAGAAGGTCTGTGGATCCATTTGGTCAGATGTTAATGAATCACGCATGGACCAACCAACGCAGGCCTTGCGGCCTTGCGCAATAGCATTTTTTTCCCTGCGCCCCCCGCCTCCCTGCATTTGGTGCTTCTGGGGAAGCCCCAGTGAATGTCCGTCGCGCGGGGCGCAATGGAAAAAGCCGCCAGCAGCTGCGCAAGCAGCGCTCGCTGCCGCCAGCAGCGAGCGCAAGCAGCGCGCGGATCCGGTGGTGCAGCTCGCGTCCCCGAAGACGGTGGCTTCGAGGTCCTGCGATGCGACGGAGGAGTTGTTCTGGGGTGACTGACTCCCCATCTCCGTCGCCATACTCCTCACTTCCATACATCACATCACTGGGTCATGGAGGTCTGTGGGTTCGAGTCTGGAATTCGCCCTAGCGACCAGGTCCCCCATAGATCTTCAGACCTCCACCAGGTCCACGACATCGCAGGTGTGGCGTGTTCAGTTTCCAGTTTGCACCGGAGCCTTTCGATGAAGCCGTTCGATGAAGGAAAGTGCCGTTCCAGGTATTCGAAGTTCACGTCGCAGCCCTCCAAGGCAGCCTGCCGGGATCTCTGATGGAGGGAACGGGAGTGCACAAGCCTGATTAGCTGATTGCATCATGGCGCGAGTGAAGAGTGGCACGTGTGGATTCAGAAGAGAAGTGGCTCCTAAAGCCGGGTTACCATCTACTCTGGCCGGGGCATTAAGAGACCATTACGTATGTTCAGTCATGGCTCAGTTTGTGACCACCTGTCGACAGGTCATGCCGGTCCACTACGTCCTCCAAAGGTGTCCAGTCTGATGTCGGAAAGCAAAGGACCTCACAACCAGGATTTCTGATTTCTCCAGTTCTGGAACCCTATATTATACATTAGTGCAGTGTAGTGTATATTATGTATACAGAAATATATACGTATGAACATTGCTTTACTTTGAGTGAGCCACCCTGGGGGGCAATTTGAAAGAAGGCAGGGCACATGTGACAGGCTACCCTGACAAACGTGGCCTGACATGTGGATTGACACAATGTTCTGGCACTTGTTCTGGCAACAAGTCTGGTATGTGCTTTAGCACATCAACTACCATAAAAAGGCTGGGCTGTGTTCTGATGTCCTTGTTTGCATGTGTTCTGACATTTGTTCTGCTGACATGTGCTGTGACATATGGTCCGACTTCGGTCCTGGTTTGTGTCTTGCCATGTATTCCGACAATTGCTCTGTCACCCAAGAAAATGTTTATCTTGCATATATACTGGCATTCCATCTTGCATTCATTCTGGCGTTCCATCCGGCATATATTCTGGCATTCTATTTGGCATATTTTTCTGACTAGTGAAATATCTTCAGACGCTCTATCTGAGTATATTCCGGCACTCTATTTGGCACTCATGATGGCATTCTATATTTTGACACTCTATCCTTCATTTATTCCCGCATTCTCTGTTGCATATATTCTGACGCCCTATCTGGCATGTAGCCTGACATTCTTTTTGCCTATATTCTGGCATTCTATCTGGCATTCTCGTTGGCGCTTGAGGTCTGGTGCTGTTATTGCAATCCAGCAATCGCGGCTGAGGTTGATTGATGCTCACTGCAACCTTGCGCTCGTGGTTGAGTCCCGGCGGTGCCCACTGCGATCTAGCACTCTGGCTTGAGGTCCGGCGGGGATCTAGCACAGCCGGTTGCCTGAGAGGCGGCAAAGGAGGGAGATAAAATCTAAAACCCTCACCAGGCAGGTGGGCAAAAACATGATCATATATATATATATATAAATACAACATTTACATGCTTCCTAGACAAGACATGAACACCAATCATGGTTCCAACACATAGATAAGCGATTCATCACAAGCACATATGAGATAGGATGCCATTGCTCCCAAGTGCCCAAGGTCTGGCCTTCGATGGCCCAGCCTTCCGAGGGCTTCGAGCCTCCATGTTCTCGAAGGCGCGCAGAACGCGCGCCTGTGCCAATAGAAGGTGCCTCAAAAGGACTTCGTTTGGCGCCAACGCGCGCCCGGAGGGTTACTCTCTGAATCCGGGCGCTCTTTTTCAGAGCCTTTCGGAACCCACAAAAAGGGAAGCCAAAGCAGAGTATCGATGGAAAGTGCTGCCGGTTGTGCAAAGTTCTTTTGTAGATCCGTGCGAAGTTGTTTCATATTTGGGAGGGCGATTTGTTCACATTTCATGGACGTGCATGCGAATGTGTGTGAATTTGTCCTGTTCTCCACGGGTGCCAAACCGTTTGGGGGGAACGTGGTTGTTTACGTAGCTGGCTGGTGTCCATGTGCGTCCTATTCAACCTCCGCGGCAGTGTTGTGCATCCGCCCCATTCCATTTCAATGAACGGTTCCTCTCTCCATGAGGCATAGCAACAACGTGGTTTGGTTTCAGGTTGAAGATTGAGTTTCGTGGTTTGTGATTGGAGCCAGCACTTCGACAAACGGGTTTCCCGCTTGTTTACTTCTGCAGACAGCCTTGTGCATTGCAGTCACTGGGCGGCAAACGGCCAGGCTGAACAGAAACAAGCGCAAGCGAGCCTTCGAATCCTGCCGGGCCCTTTGGTTGGGCAACTGGGCGGTGGAAAATTGTTCTTCAGAGAGATGCCAAGACTTGACGTAGATTCCCAGGACCATTGATTGCAATGTCCTAGAATGCAAAACGGTTTTCCGGATTTTTCCGGTTCTCAGGGACTTTGGGGTAAGTGCAGGCGCTCCCTCCCTTGCCTTCCCTCTGTCGATCAAAGACCCGTGCGATCTGGGATTTCAACTTGCCCGGTCGCCATGCCACACTCTTCGAACTCCATTTGTTCACAGTTTTCGCCCGACCTCGCCACCAAATTCCTTTTGAGAAAGGAACCCCATCAGCCCAGCAGGTATGCGCGGCCGCTACGCTACTTGTTTGTAGGTCCAGGTCTTGGGATCGGCACATCTTCTCAGCCCCGGCCCGGCTGAGGTGTGCACTCTATGGAGCCTGGGCCGGCTTGTTGACCACGCGGCCCGCGACCGCTCGTGGACCGACCGCTGTGGCTTCTTTGTTTGCTTCTCTCCTAATCGATCAGGTGACCAGGCTGACCAGGTGTTCTCCAAGGTCAGCTTGTGGGGTGTGGGTCATCTGCTTCATGGGCTTGGATCGACAGCACCCCAGTTTGAGCATTCAAGCAGTTTTGACTGCCTGATCAACAGCTCGGCTCATTCTCAACGTCTTGGATTTGCGACGCACCTGAAAGCCCTGGGCTTTTGGGTGGCCTGGGTCAGTCCATCCGCGCGCCCTCTGTTTCGGAGTGCCAGGTCCTCAAGCCTTACGATGGCATCAGGCCGGGCCTGGGGGGCACCGAGCGACCCGTTGGCTCCGGCGTGGCGCCGGTCCGGCGTGGTCCATGGGCGATCCGTTGCGGTTCCATCGGGATGAAGGTCTCTTTTCCCCGGGCACTGAGATTTCTTTGTGAAGTTAGACATGTGAAATGAATTGAAATGATATAATTATGTAATTACTTCAAAAGAACTTCTGAGGTGACATGACCCAAAAGCCAGATCTACAAGTCGATGAAACATGATGAAAAGACTAAAAGACACCTGGTGTCCGGCTTTTTTTGGCCAAGATTGAGTTGTATGGAGTCCGTCAGCCTTGCCCGGCCCTGCCCCGTGCCCCACCTTGACCCTCAGTTCGCTGGGGGCTTTTGACCCTACTAGGTTTTTGGGAACCAACATGTAGCAGTCGGTTCGGGTCCAAAGACGCCTTTTGGGACCTATTTTTTTGGGGCTTTCTCAATCACAGCAGTGACCCATCAGCACCTTGGTTGATTGCTTCGTTTCCTGTTTGCTGGACCCACAGTGATCGTCTGACGGCTCTCAAGATGAGGTTTCTCAGCCGAAGCTCAGATCTGGACATCACCAAACTTTCCTGGAGAAAGAATCATATCTGCCAGTCGGATGATATCCTACCATCTTTGCCATCTTCCTTTTCCTACAATCATCTCCGGGACCAATCCCTCCACCCGCCCGTCCACCGGGTTCCGGGAGCAGCTGAGCGGCGCTTCCGCGCGGGCGCGGGGGGCTTCGGTGTGATGCGGGGGGCTTTGGGGTCCGGAAGCTTCGGTGGCTTTGGGGTGCCACGTTGAGAAGTTGTTTGTTCCCCATGTCCTTCGATCTCACAACGTCCAGACGTTCCGAACGACAGACAGCAGCGAGCGAGCGAGCGAAAAACACAGACCCAGACAGTGAACTTGATTTCGCTCGGCCGAGCATTGCAGACCCTACCGATTGGAGATGGCGTCCAAGTTGAAAACCTCCCGAGGAGCCCGGAGGTTCCGGCTTCGGAGGTTTGGGCAGATATAGATGCCCCATGGCATGCAGATTGATGGGTGGTGCATCTCAGTGACACTCCAACCACTAAGGATGGGTAGTAGAAATAGACGACGTCGATGTTCCTCTATGTGTTGAAGGTGTGATTGAGTGAGCCTGAGCTTGAGTGAATCGAGCCACGGCCTGGGGCTGTGGGTTCTGGGTTCTTTCCAACACCATGTGTAGGAGGTGGACGGGGAGCTTTGACTTACTGTTTGAACAGCAGAGAACACCTTCAACCATCTGGCTGTAGTGAAATATAGGGTGACCAGCAAAACCCAACCGACGGCTTCCTTGGAAAAGAAGAACTCGACTGAAATCGCACATCCGTGGGTTGGAGGGTCTTTGCAGGAAAGACCATGTACGAGTTCTGGGGCGATCAGATCACTGCGGCGCTTGCCAAGGAGACGGGACGAAGCGACGCACGGACGAACGGGATTGGATAGACATGCAGACATGCGCGATGCAAAAGGGGGGGGAGTGGCGGGGAGTGGGTGGCTTCCCTCAGATTTCAGATGTGCAGACATCAGGTCAGACAGGTCAGACAGGTCAGACACCGTGGTGGTGTGTGGTTTTCCATGGATGGTCTTGTCAAATCCGTTCTGGTTTCTTGGAGCCGTGGCTTTGCTTTTGTGGGTTTTGTGATCGTCTGAGCTTGCAAAAACTCAGGACTTGAAGGCGGGGAAGATCAAGTACTTGGTGAACTGCGCCTCCCAGGCGGACTGCGGCGAGTGGCCGCCGGGACCGTCGCGTGGCGAAGTGAAGAAGACCATTTGGAGCACAGGAAATGCACGCTATTTTTGGGCTCCATCAAGTTGTTTCAAACTCCTCTATATACTTGTAAATAGCTCGTGATGCCATGAAACATGCTCATGACTCATGAATTTTTGCAGGGTCTACCACCAACCTCACTGGTGCTACGCCTCCCCCCAAAAAACAGTCATGGGTACGGGGTCAGGACAGTCGCAGCAGCAGTCAGACTGCCTGAACTTGGGGTGAGCTTGGCCTATGAAGCCTTGACTTAGTAGGTAGGATCCTATGAAGCACCCTGGTTGACAGATCACTGTGACATGGCAACTTCACAACAAATCACCACAAATCCACAGATACAGATTTCCACCTCAGCACGTGTCCCAGCTTTTTCCTCTTTCGACCTCCGACCACACCGAGCCCGCAGGAGTTCTGGAAGTCCATCCAGCCCAAGAAGCTTCCACCAGGCGGAGAAGCCAAGCCCAGCCGGACCGCCGAGTGGTCCGCCGGGTGGAACCCGGCGGATCGCCATCCTTCCCAAGGTCGTCTATGTCGCGGCTTCGGCTTCTTCTTTTTGATTCACCTCGTCCTTCCGATCGACCTCCAGCCCCGATCTAGATCTCTTAGTTCTTCAACTGACTTCTTTGACTTCCACGACCCTCTTCCCACCCACCCAATGGGGGTCCTCCTCGTTCCATGGGCGTCCGCACCGTTGTTCTCGGACGGTCGGTGTCTCGCCCTCGTTTTTGCCGGTGTCAGGAGTCCGAGTGGTGACCTGCGAGTTCTCCGGGCCTTCCAGTCTGGTGAAGCAGGTGGGTGGGTGCAGGGCACGGTTGGAAGGGGCAGGGGCTCGGTGATGAAGGTCAATGAAGGTTGAAGAGGGTTGGAAGAGAGTCAGCCCGGGTTGGAAGAGAATCCTGAAGTGGAAGGTCCAAGCCATGGAGATGTGGATTTTTTGGAGAGTTTGGAGTGTGGATCTTTTTGGGGAGCGAACCTTTGGCAGGGTTCCACCAAAGTCACCGGCAGATGTTGGAATAATTCTGAAGTGGACATGTGGGTGTAGAGGTACAGAGCAGACCAAAAGACCGATGCAAGTATACACATGAATGGAGTAAGATTAGAGATGGTGGTTGTTTGACCATTATGTGTATCTCCTGAAACCTTCCCACACCCAACGAAACCGTCCTCCGCGGATGGGGAGAAGCGGAGGACACGCTGTCTCTCCAGGCACGAGGGAGCATGTGCCGCTTCATCGTGACCAAGCGCATTAAAGATCCTGCGGGGTTGAAGAAGTTCACAGGAGAGGAGGAGGGTGGTTGGGCAGTTGGTGGGGTGTTGCTTTTTCTGTTCTCCCCACAGGGTGGTGCTGTTCGCATCATCCGTTTCAACCAGCGAAGCGAGCGTGTCTTTATTCCGAATGCGCAATCGCATGGAGACCGTAGGAGTAGCTCCAAACCTCACTTCTTTTTCCACACAGGGATCGTTTCAGCGTTTCGGTGTGGAACAAACAAACATCAGTCGAGGTCTTCCATGTGCGGCCGTTTTTGGTCCACCAGAAACGGGCCTTTTAAATGGTGCCTGCATATAATGATTATATATATATGTATATTATATATATATATTGTTTTTGATACCCTTTCCATTTTTCCCAGCGGTGGCAGTGCTGGAGCAATGACCCAGAAAGAACCAGCCATGTTCGCCTTTTCTTTGGGCGCCCACTGTTTCTGGCGCCATGTTGCCTCCAGGCCTCATCCCAGTAAAGACATGCTAAGATCAAGCAGCGAGCGGCGAGCGGTTCTATTTTCGCCCCATGAAACACAGCATGAAGGGATCTTCCACAGAATTGGTTTGGACATGTTTGGACACTGCAGGACACCATCCGTTTGGGGGATGAACACGGTGGAAAACCATGGGTTTCCCGTCACATGTTCTTCTTTTCACCCACAAAGCTTCCGAGCTGCGTTGAACCGAGCTGCTTCAGAAGTGTCGGGCTGCTTCAGTGTCGTCTCGAGACAAGTCGAAATTTCATTGGTTGGACATGGAAGACCTACATAATGGCAAATGCTACTAGGAAAGCCTGCCTTTCCAAAGCTACATGGGAAAAAAGAACATGGGGAATCCGGGAACCTTACGGGAATCCAGAAACCTTCGGAATGCAAGCGCCTCCCGCTTACTGCGCAAGGAGATGACAAGAACAGGCGGGTCTGGGGCAGCGCGAGAGTTGCTTTGCTGGACATCCCTTTTCTCGGAGGTCAACACTCCTGAGACAGGTTTGCTTCAATAGTTCCTCGCGGAGAGCCAGATGCCAGATGCCCTTGACAGTTTCGTGCGCGGTTCCAAACTAATTTGATTGAGCTCCAACTGTGGCCAGCTAGGTGCAACAGGTAATTGGACCCCCTTTGCATCTGCCTACTTCACACGCAGCACCACCTTCTCGGAAAGTTATTTCTGGTGATTTCTGCGATACTGTCTCTCCGTGACACGCTGAGAACATCCACAGAAAAGCGTGGGATCCCCATTTTGGGCACCTGGCAAGTTCTTTTTGGAGCGCATCTCACTTATACGTTCTGCTCCCGGTCCAGAGCAGTTCGAACCGTTCGGCGCCGAATTCGCCAGGCCCCGAAAACGGTCCTCGCTGCTCGACCCGAGCGACCATGAGACACGACTCCACCCCAAGAATAGGCTCCCCGCAGCGACTGGCCTGTGGCTGTCCCCGGTGAGGTGGGGGCGGTTTGCAGAGGTTTGGGAATGGATCGTGAAGACCGGTCACCTGAGCGATGGGGCGAGCAGTCCACCAGCTTAGCGAGCAGTCCACAGGTAGGCCGACACCGGTAGGTCAACCGGTGGGTCGCGTGCTGCCCCGCCGTCCGCGCCGGCCCCCTTCCGTGGGCTCGCCGAAATGTCTGCGTCGTGCACGACCGGATGAGGTGGAGCTTTCAAGTGGGCCGGTCCAGTGAGAGCAAGCTGGTCTTCGCGCCAGGTGCGGGACGACTCGGGTCAGCTGCGGTTAGCGCCAGGCCCGAGCGCGAGAGGTCCCAACGTCCAGCGGGTCGTAGCAGGGAGTCCAGCGGCCGAAGCAGAACGTGACAGAACGAAGTTCCTCGCGGGACGTACGTGCCCGACGTCATGCGTGGCAGGCAAGAAGAGGGCGGCAGAAGATGCAAAGGCTGGGCCTCTTTAGAGTTGATGTCCAAAAAGCTTTGCACCAACCAGTGGGCAGGGAGTGAAGTCAACATGGAGGTGGCGTGTGCGTGGCTGGTTTTTGCAAGTCACCATTGTTTCGTCAAGAGGGTTTGACTCAGAAAGCTATGAGGACGTTCCGAAAGCTCTTGACTCTATGAGGCTCAACAAATTCAAGCAATCAATAGCGAAAAGGGTCTCAAAACCTCTGAGAAACCCTGAGTACCAGCAGCCTCAGCAACTTGCGAAGTCGCATCTTCCCAACAATGAAGCTCCAAGTGATCACACTGAGCAAGGTCCACTTGCAGTGAGGTGTCATGCCCTCCCATGGCCATGGCATTCACGTGTCCTCCTTCCGGTGGGTGGATCGGAACGAATGCATCGGTGGGAACCAGGTGGCAACAGGAGCGTCAACCAGCGCAAGCAAACCCTAGGCTTCCTGGCCCACCAAGAATTTAAGGGGTCTTTTTAACAGAAGCTTCATTGATTTTGCTAAGTTTTACTTTTATACTACAAAAGCATGTCATGGATGTTTTTAATGGTCTTGGAAGTCTTGGAAGTCTAGGGAAAGAAAACAATCCAAGAATCAACCAGTGATATTTCCTGCAACCGGTTGTCTCTCCCTACGTCTTTGCGCAGGTTCCTTTTGCACCTAGCAAGCCCATGAGGAAATTAGGCAGATGGATGAACCATGATGAACCTATGTATGCCCATGTCATTCTTGACACTGTCTGGGGAAGTCTTTTATTTTTTTTTCAATTTCAACTTTTGCATATTTCAATTTCACTCATTTCCCTTATTTTTCGACCTCCGCCCCATGGTTCGCTGCGGGAGACCGCTGCCTCGGCCCGGGGTCGAACGGCCCGGTGTGGCCTTGGTCGTCCAGGCGTCCAGCAAGCGTGCCAAGCGTGCCAAGCGCTCGTGAAAAACCGATTGGAGCCATGTCGCTGGGTGTTTCGGTCATGGGAGACGCGAGGTGGGCGTGGAGCAGCTGTGTGAGCGTGGAGCAGCGAAACCATGAGCTTCATGGACATGATTTCAGTCTTCGACTTCAGGACGTGCAGGTGTCTTCAACCATATATATCGGCAACTCTTGTAATTCATTTCGATTCGATGTATATGGCTTCATCCACAAAGAATTGAATGACCTTCTCTCACGGAGAAGGTAGTGTAATGATTCCAAAGACCAGCTTCGAGCTGCTACCCGACAGGTCCAAACAGGGGGAACCTCACGCTCACACACACAGCCATGGCCTACAGCCATGGCTTCGGTTTCATAGGGTGTTGGGAGTTGTGGGTAACGCACGCTGTTGCGAGCACAATATTGGAGGAGTTTGCTGCTCCGCAAAACAAGTGCCAACAGCTCAAGAGCCTGGAGCTCTTTGTCTCTATCCACATCCACTCCTTTCTGAATTGGTCACTCAACTCTCAACTCTCGGCCCCACTCCGTCTCTCCATGGCGACCCACCCCATCGAACACGGTGGAGGGACCTTCGGACCTTCGCGGGGCACTCGGAGCTTCGTCGCCTTCGGCTCCGGACCAAAACCACCTCTTCACTCGCTCGTTCACACTGAGTCACTCCCTTGTTCGCCGCTGCCAGCATAGGGATGTTGGAAAAAACCGCTGGCTGACGCAGCCACCCACCCCCTCGAATTGACATCTCCCTCTCCGCAGGCCATGTATTTCACGGCTCTTTGGAAGCTCCGGCTCCTCGCGATGTCGGCGCCCAGCTCTGTCGCCTCCTCGCCGCCGCGCCGACCTCGGTTTCGCAGCGAGAGGGACGGTGGGTCTCCTCCACTGGAGGTTCCCGCCGGCACCGCCTGCGGGAGTTCAGTTGGGGCTGAGCTGGGTCAAGGACGTGAGCGGCTTCTTTTCTTTTTGAACACCTCGACTCTTCCCCGGTCCATCTGTCGCAGGTCGGCCATGGAATTCCATTTGGGGAGAATCCCCAAACCTCTTGCCCTGGCTGGGTATTTCCTGGTTCCATTTTTCCGAACCGAACCCCCAAACCGGTTCGCGGGGGGGTCGGACGGGTCCGACTGCCCACCCGGGACGAGCTCGTCCTCCGCCTCAGGCGGAGCACGCCGCATGTGCCCAGCTTTCGACCAGAAGAGCTGCCGGGGGCCCCAGGCCTTGGAGAGGCCAAGGCAGCTCGGGAAGTTCGGTGGATCAAGGTGGTTGAAGCGAAGCTTGGGGGGAGGGGAAAATGGGGAGGACCTCACCGCAAAAGGAAGGAACTGGAAGAAAGCTTCATCTGAAAGGTACAGGAAACTGAAGGAATCAGGTTTGGATTCAGATGCAGCAATCAAAGAGAGGAACTCCGGAACACACCAGGAGTTTCATCATGGCTGGTGGTTGTCTAAAGGTGCGCACCCTGCAAGCGGGTCACACTGCTCGCCTCAGGCTGTGCACTGCGCAAGCCCAGGATCATTTGGTCAACACAGATAGACTACTCTCAGACTTAATTGGTGACTTATCACATGGTGTCCCCATGGTGCCAGGGTCACGTCTGGAACGTCTTTGGGGGGATGGTGCACCGTGTGGTCAATTGTGGTCATCTAGAAGTGGCTTCGCCGGGGATGCCCGGGGGCCCGGGTGCATCCAGCCTCGTGAGGCCAGGTCACCAAGTGAGGCCGGCCCAACAACCTCTTGTCAAAGACCTGTTGTAGGATTGGCATTGTGCAAAGGGATTGGCATGTTTCTCAGTGGTTTGACGCTGTCAGGTCGGATCCTTGTGGTGATGGAAGGTTGAGACCAATAGAATCGATCCACTCCTTACGCAGACTCCGTTGGAACTGGAGCCTGTGCTGGTGAGAAGGTCAGACCAAGATTTCTCAAAGTTGATGGAAACACTTTCCCTCCCCCAATCTTTGGGCTTGCTTACAAACATGACACATTCTAAATGAACTCCGCCACCTGCCTAGTATATATAGAGGCAGGCGCATGGGTTGGGTTGTTTTTGTCCGGTCTGCATGCGCGGTCGACCCTGGACTCCGAGGATTGATGCCCACCAGTCCGAGGCCGTGGGGAGGGAGGGCACCTCTTCGGTCTCCGGCTCCGCGCCTGGTCCGCGCCTCGCAGCTTGGCTGGTCGAAGACCAGACGCACTGTAGGATACCGTCGGTAGCAGCGTTCGCAGTAGACCGGGAATTTCCAATTTGGGCGGCTTTTTCCTGGGTGGGGGTAAGATCTTGTTCCAGAGACCCGTCAAGAGGCTGGCTTGATTGTTGGTAAACATGGCTTGGCAGCGACATGGGTGGGATACTGAACGGTCTTCGCCTGCGAAAGGACATGTTCTTGCAGGTGTTGTGGGCTCGTGGGTCTTCCTATCCAATAGCAGTGTTCGGCTGCTGGGAATGGGGAACCTTATAGAACTTGCATATATTTGGGTCTATGGTATGTAAGTCGCTTCTTGAGCCAGCAAGATCTCAGCCGTGGGGTGACCTTTGGCATGCTTTGGCGGTAAATCCCAGGTGCGCCACCAATGAAACGAGTTGATTGGAGAACACAGGGGTGCGCCAGAGGCCATATCCAGAAGTGGAGGTCATGGCATGTCGAACCAGGAACTGCAAAAATGAGAGAGAGAGAGAGAGCTTTTCTTGGTGCTTTGGACATGAGATCATTAGAATTCTCCACTGATTTGGCTCAATCTCCTTCCGAACTGGGTCGCACTCAGAGGAACCCCCTTCACGGCCGCAAGGACACCATCCGCCGGAAGCTCTTCCAGACATATGAGGTGAGCGATTGGGCTTGTAGGACATTTGAAGTGTTTCGATCTGAAAAAGGATGCGAATGATTCGGCCTGAATGCTTCTGAGACCTCTTTGGAAAAAGGTAAATTTGTGGGTGAAACAGAAACCCCCTTCTTCGGCCCTTTTCCACCTCCGGGAAAAGCTCCGAGAATCAGCGACCGCTTGTTTTTTTGCAACCACGAACCGTGTCTTCCACCTCCCCCCAAGTACCAGTGCTTTTCTGCCCAAGTTCATCCCCACCCCTTAGGTCGTCGAACCACTGGGCGCGCGCGCTTTGGCGCGGCAGGAGCCGCCGCCCACGGTGCGGGCGCCCCCGTGGCGGTCTACGTTGACCAGTTCCTGCCGAGGCCGATACGACGGCGGTGTTCGAAGACCTCTTCAGGTCATCCGTCCTCATCCGTCCCTCAAGAGTTTTGTTATATGTACATGTTGTATGTACACGTTATATATGTCATTACTATGGTTGGCACTAACCACAGTTCTGTTTTATACATCACTTTCTCAGGGTTTTACTCCAGAGACTTTGATGGGGCCCCCCAACACCTCCTTTGGCTGCCCGAACACCCCTGCCATGGGGAGGGTTTCTTCTGTCTGACTCAGCTATTCATCACGTTTTCATCCATGGGTAACACGGAAGAAGACATGGCTGTGGGCTGTGGGGAGGCTGGCAGCCACCGAAAAAGGGCACGAGCTACCCGGTGTCGGTCGACTGGTCCGGCGATGTGACGCTTGGACCCATCGAATTTGGGGAAAACGCTCTGGACGAATGACACTGGTCATCCGAATGACTGGTCATCCGAGCCTACAAACAGCAAATTCCAAAGCTTCGGAGGATCCCCATGTCATCCAAGCCCGCTCCCAGAAGGTCGGGACATGTTCCTTTGCTCGCTCGCATGCACGTGCGTGCGCCGGAGACACGCCCTTGCTGTGTTGGATTTGTTAAGGCGTTGCCCAAATGCCTAAATGCACCTCAATGAGGATGTGGGTGGAAATAGAAAGATCCTCCCAAGACCTGCAACTCGGTGGGGTGCGGTATCGGGCTCCCCGGTGATTCTCCGCTGGTAGAGGGTGTGGAATTGAAGTGAAAGATGGTTTCAGCTCGTTCCTCACAACCCAGCCTTTGAGTTCTTCCTCGGGATGCAGGAGAGGAGGATGGGACAAACCCAGAGGCGATCGGTCGTGGGAGCATCGGGACTGCGAAGAAACGAGAGTGCTCCTCCAGTCATGGGGCTAGGGTATGCTAGAGCTACAGTTGTTATGATTATAGGGTCGCTTTCTTCAAGCGGACTGGTTGGCCGCTTTGTTTTATTTGATTCTTTGCCCCCTTCTCAACATGGTGGAGTCGGAGTTGTAGCTGCTATGTGCTTTGGAATGCCGGGTCGTTCGCTCTGGGCGCAAGTATTCAAAATTTCCTGGATTTGATTGAATGCTTTTCAAGTGGCCAGGGTTTATGCCATACCTGTGGCATACTGAAGCGATTTGTTCAATAGTCGCCTTGCAAAGAGTCAACCAATGCCTATTCATGAAGCTAACAGAAAGGGAAAGTTCACAGAAGAGGGGGAACATGGGAAAGAACAAATCAAGAGATGGAAAAACAAGTGATTCACTTGCCAGAAACTCCCAAACATTTGTAATTGGAGGAACTCTTCCATAGGCGCGAGTCAATGATCCGCCAGATGGATGGGCTATATTATATTGTTACAGTTGGTGCCTCCCAAAGTGCAACGATTGGCCCTCAGCACCAAGATACCAAGAGCACCAGAGGTATCCACTCAGTAGCATATATCCAGGAGTTTCGAGTTGTCCAAGTGTGAAGCCTATTTGTATTTATTTGTTCTCTGGAAGACTTCCTGAACACCGAACCTAGAGGGTGCTTTTGACATGTTTTTTGGGGAACCAGACCCAAGAACTCAGGTCTCGCCAGTGTCTTCGGTCAACCGAACGCCATTGGCACCGGACCTTCCAACCACAAGCTGGTGGTCCGAAGATCTCCATGTGTTTTCCGGATCTCGGATGCCGAAATGGGCGGATCAGCGAGACTCCTGCGGTTGGTTGGTTCTTTTTGTGAGGCCTTGGGCCACATCACCCAGGAGCTGCAGCAGGCCAAGGCACAACTGGAGGAGGAGACGGGATTTGGATTTTTGGGAAGAAGGTGTGGGGGGAAGGCACTGTTTTCTTTATTTTCAGACTCTAGGTGGTGGGACTGGGCAGTGCTTTCGGTTCCCAGGCTGCAGTCCACCACACAGTTCACTTGCAGGTTTGACTGAAGCTCAGCCACTGCTTGTCTAAATCTCGCGTTTGGAAGGTCTGTTATTCACCAAAGGTGGACTCCGTTCTTGCATAAGCCCAGAAAGCTCCTCTGTGAAACATTGTTCAGCTCCCATATGAAGGGATGAGGTGACGCTAGAAAGGCTTACATACTGTAATTTTAACCAGCCAAGGATAGTTCGATGGGAGCGGGTCTTTCCTTCTTTGGGCATTGACCAGGTGAAGCCCTTTTAGCCAGGTTTGGATGTGCTACATGCCGGGGCTCGCACAGCCAAAGGGTATAGGGTACTAGGAGGTGGACGGAGGTGGTGCAGTAATTCTTGCATCCACGTGCAGGTGTTGGGCTTTTACTGTAGTGTCTTACTCTCCAACAAACATGGAAGCGGACAAGTACCTGTTGTTTGGTGGTTCGGATTTCATGGTCTTTCCTGGGGCCATACCATCCACTTCCACACGTCTTCACTGTCTGATTCCCTGCCGGACATCGGCGCCGAGCCGCCGAAGCATCGGCAGTTCTTTTGCGGCCGAGGATGGTTTTCGTGATGTTACATGAAGACCTCTAGGCCTAGTATAGTCTGCGTTTTTCAGGGCAGTTCCACATCATTCCATTCCTCTTCGTGAATAGCAAAAGATTTTGCCATGGTGATCATGACTGTTTATGATGGCAACAAGGACCGAGTCTTTTGGGACCACACAGATTTGAGGGCGAGGGCAGCCCAGTGCTGCACGTTCTTCCGACAGGGGGACCATTTTGCTGAGTTCATTTTGGTTGCCACCCAAGAGGCAACCCTGGACCTGTCCCAACTGCATGTTCGTTCAGTCCCCAAATCCTGGCCCACGGCTCCAGGAGCGATGCATCTCTCGGAACTTGGTGGTCGGGAAGACCCGAAGTGGGCCGACGAGCCGAGGTCCCGTCGGCCCGAGCCGTGTAGGAAGGAAGGGCGCACCAGGCCGTGCAAGAAGCAACAACATGGTAGGAAGCGGGGTGCTCAAAGGGTCATGGTGAAGACCAGCTGCAGGTGTTTTCCCTCTTTTGGGAGATTGAGATTGACGTGCCATGTATGACATGCACAAAACTGGCCCCCAGAATTGGTGAAGCTTCAAGCAATGCGGGTGAGCTTCTGCATTTGTCGGACACACGGCCTATTATCCGTTGGCCTATTTGGATCTAGTTGATTGAGATGATGGATCCAGTTGATTGAGAAGATCGTCAGATTTATCGCAGCCTCGGATGATGTTTAGAGTCTTGACATGAAAGAAGAGGAACGACTGGTCGATGGAGCCGGAAAGGAGAGCGAAGCCTGACCCCTCTGGAGCACCCGAATCACCTCGACTCGAGGCTGAGCGGAAGAACTTGCACTCTCAGGCTGAGCGGAAGGGCAGGCTGAGACGGCAGCATGAGCATGGGCAGTGGTGGCTCATGGAATTTCCCAGAATGAAAGTCAGAGGAATCTGACTTTCTCCCTTGTTTTTGGCCGCTGTACCTGTTTGCATCTGCAGTCAGGGAGGCATGTTGCCTGCAGAAGAGGGCCACAGATGATCAAGAGTGCCACCACAGAGGGTCAGGTGATCCATCAAAATCATCAAACTTCGCAGGGAATTCTTCGAGCGAATCATGGCCAGAATTGCCTTTAGGTATCTTTAGGTCAAGACCGTCAAGACCCAACCATTTTTGGCGATGTCCTGGTTTGACGGGTCCTTTGCGTTCTTTTTTTGTTTTTGTTTTTTTCCGGGTTGGGACGATCAAACTCTCTACTTCAAAGTGGGGACTGGCTGTGATGGTCTCGGTAGGTGGGGGACCTCCAGAGGTCTCGGCTGTGATATAGCGGACCTCCACCTCTTGTGGAGACCTCTGGGAAACCTCCAGAGGTTGAAAGCAGGTGAGGGAAGAAACTGGTCCCTCGACATCTGTTCTGCCAATCCGAAGGGTCTCCAGTTTAGCTTGAAGGTATGAACCCCGTGGGCCTTGTCAGAAGGTAGACATACTGAGGACTCCTCACAGTTGTGACGTGGTTCAGATTTCTTGAATCGAAACTGAGCATGTGTGGATCGGTTTGTGGTTTTTACTGCCAGGCCGACTTTTCAACAGCATTTGAGGGTCAGTAATAGCACTGCAACACCTGTTGAGGTGGATCAAGAGGATGTGTTGGAAGCACGACGTCATAGATATATCTAGGGTCTGTCCCGTTCAATAATGATCACTATTTTAGAGAAAGGCCTGCAACCTAATGATCATCATCCAATGGGCCCTGGTCATAGGATATACCCAACATATATCGTTTCATTTCTGCACTGACCGGTCTGACACATCTCTTTCTCGGATCTGACCGGTCTGACAGGTGTGTAAAGCCCAAAGTGACTATCAGGCAGTGTGGGAAGGGTTCAACAGGGGCTGACGGTTCCACCAAGACCACTACAAGCCAGTTTTGTTTTCCCGTTTTTCACCAAATCGGGGGAAGCTACGAATCAAACCTTGTTGGGCAGGTCAGGAAGTCTTAGTGTCTAGTACTGGTACCTTGTGTCTATGATGGTTACCCTCTGTGAAAGGATACCGGATACCAGACCCAACTGGAGAGCCTCTCCGTCCAGGGGGGGGACTATTGTCCTGTTGTCAAGAACACCTCCACCTAGATGGCCTTGGCTCGTGGCCTTGCCGCAGAAAACACTTCCATGGCCAGGACTCCAGAAATTCTTGCCAGGACTCCCTCAAGCACACGGGCTCCTTCCACTGCCCGAAGGAACAATTGGAAGAATCGACCAGCCAGTAGAACCTTCGCCATACCACACACCAAGACCATCACAGGAACACCATCCCATGGCCACGTGGTGAACACCACGCGTGGCGGGCACGGGCTGCATCAACTCCCCCCACTAATTGCTGCGCAGAAGGTCACCAAGTTGTAGGGAACCATTCCCTAATCATACAAGTGGAGAGTCGACTCCTGTACTTGAGAGTCGACTCTCAACAGAAAGAACGTGAAATAAAGCAAATTGAATGGACCATCAAGAGAGATCAAAGTTGAAATGGATAATTGATGGAAAGGCGATGATCGGAACATGAATCTAGATGAAAGCGACATGGCAGGACAAACGGACCAAGGAGCAAGGACGTTTACATAATAATGATTCGATAATATTAGAGATGAAACAGACACAAGTGCAACAGGTAGAGACGAAAGGGCATTGAAAGGCCACCCGGGTCTTTCTCGACCGATTTCTCGACCGATGCCAACCAACGGCCTCCTCTGGTCATTGCAGGCGTTGAGCCAGAAGCACCAAAATACACTCTTGGCCTGGGCTCCCTAGGTGAGGGCGAGGCTGGGGCCAGGCTGAGAGGCTCCACCGGAAGACCTTCGTCACCGGAGATGGCCCAACCATTCTTCGTTGCTTCGTTCGGTGTTGGGGGTACATCGGGTGCTGGAGCTCACTCTTGTTCTGCTCCCACTGATGCTGGAGCTCAGCATCTTGACATGGGATCCATCCGGCCAAATCAAAGCGACCCGAAGCGACCCATGATGGGTGCTGTTGGTCCCCAAACCACGGGCCCAACGGACCAACGGAAGGGCGTCCACCGTTCGGTCGCCGGATCGATCCTGGGAGGTGGACACATGGTGTCCATAGGACGTCACTGACCAAAGCGCCATGTTTTAACAGTCTTCCATCCGTTTGAACCCAGATATCCTGTTTAACATATGTATATATTATATCCGCTGATTGAGCAGCGACACAGCCTGCGCTGGTTTTCCTGGTCAATTGGTGCGTATGGATGTGTGACACAGACACGAAACTACATGTGAGTGAAGGCAAGTGATTCACAGATGCAATACATGACAATAGATGCAAAAGGATGCTTGGTAGGTGGTTCCCAATGATTTTCACAGATACATATTATATATATATATATGGACACCCCAAACCTCCCCTGCAATCACATCTACGCTTTTCACTTTCCTTTCCTTATTAGTTTTATGCGTGAATTCCCCTTTATACTATTCCTGGTTGATTTTATTGGTTACGTATTGAATTCCTGTTGTTTTTTGATTGGTATCCTTTTAATTCCCTTTGTCTTTCTTGATTTTCCTTTATATAAGCTCTTTAGTTATTTTCTTCTTAACTCCCTTCTTGAATCTTGTCAACGTATTGCAAAAATCAATTCCACACAGGGGGGTAGCCCAGTACAGCAAAGCAGCTGGCAAGAAGGAAAAAGTAGAAGAGCTGAGAAGTATTAAAAGCAGGACAGGATATAAGAGCGGCGAGATAGCAGGAAAGCAAACTAGCTGAGAAGAATAGAAGAAGTACCAATTAGAAAAAGTAACTGTAGAACAGCTGAAAAGCAGGAAACGGTAGATCATGGGGGGGATCAGCATATATCTTATCTATATAGTACTATATTCACGCATGTATTCAGGTCGGTGCATGAAGACAGTTCGTCTCGCGCGCGTGAAAACGAACGGCCACGTCACCTTAGTCAGGGCTTGGAGCAGATGTGTATCCAGCTGGGTGAAGCGAAGAAGAAGGAGGACCGCCCTTTTTCGTTGCCTGCAGCGGGAGAGCCGTCTGGTGGCAGAGGGCCGAGAGTGGACGTTCACCACTGCCAGGTTCACCAGGAGCAGTTGGAAGAGATAGGACAAGACGGAGAACACCGTGCAAAACCGAAGCAACGCTTTCATTTCTGTTTTTATGTTTGCAGATCTTAGGCTTGGGATGGAGGATTCTTCCAGAAGGAAGCTCCTGAGTCAAGGCAATTTGCAGTTGATTGGCTCCTTCCACGGTTTCTTTCCCAAGCATCATTTTTGGAAGTTCACCTTAGGGTCACAACTCGCACATCATCCTTATGATCACATGGGGCGGTCGCGACATGCGATCCCTTGGTGCGATCCCATGGTGGCGCTGAGAAAAGCGCCTGCGCTCTTCGGGTTTCCAACTCATCGCGGTTCTCCGTCCTTTTCAACGGTGTTCTGGTCACCTGACCCCTGACTTCGGGGGGATGAAGATAGCGCAACCCAAACTCCTCCGGTCGGGGGATGACAGTTTTATTGTGGTACCCCAGAAGCGGCCGTCTTGGACTCCGAAAGACATCTCACCGTGCAAAGGGGTGCAAGGCTCTATATACAGTGGTTTCAGAGTAGATGGCACAATCCCCCCAGTTCGGTGCTTTATATGGGCCCCCCATCTGTCTAAGACATCCTTTGGGTGCCAGTGCCATCTACTTTTTCACACCAGTGTAGTCGTTTTATCACTGGGTGTTGAGTGACCGCGACTTTTGAACCTTGAGACATGGCACGTCAAGGCCGGCTACTGACAATCCAGTGCACTGTGGGACTGGTCGAAGACCGGAGAGGTGATGGCAGGGATATGCGGGGGAGAGCATCTCAACACACCTCACATCAGCGATGTTTTCTGCAGTCGTTCCAGATCATTTGACGGTATTTGCTCTCGGGGAGTTGGAATACCGCCGATGTTCGAACGGAACATCGGAATATGTCGGATTGGCACGTTCGGTGAAGGTAGAAACAGCACTTTAGACGAGCTTTGCCCCTCTTCTATTTTGCCCATCTGAACAAATCTAGAGGTGCCAACTTCTGCAGGATGTGGTCAGTTGGTCCGATCGACTTCGACCAACATCTTCTTTGGGTGTCACCGACGAAGCCTCGCGTGTCGACCTGGAGGAGCAAGCCAAGTGCATGGAAGCGTCCCTGAGGACCCTCCAGGTGTGCCCCGTGCGTGTTCAGACCTCGTCTCCACCGGTCGGATCCGGTCGGTTCGGCGCCTTTGGTGTCGGGCCCCTGGAGGGGCAGGGGGGGGGGGAGAGCCTGTAGAGGCGCGGAAGTGTCTCTTCTTTTTTAGACTGGGGAGTCGTCAATCCCGGAATTGCATAGCCTGATCCGCGAAGTTGGTCAAAAGGTAGAGGATAAACCCAAAACAGCTCTTGCAAGGTACCATGTTGGTATTTGGATGTATTTTGGGTGACCAATGTGATTGTTGAAGATGACACATTCATGTGCTGTTGCCCATTGACTAGGTTTTGCATGCTCAGTGCGACAGCAGTCCAGCACGATGTTTTGGATACTGCTCAGAAATTTCCGATAGGTGCCAACTTGTACTTTTGCGCTTGTTGGTCACAATACATATTTCAGCATATCTCAAGATTCCCCAGAAAATGCTCCTGCAAACCTTTCGACCCTTGACCTTCGAACCGAACTCAATTATATTTGAACACATGTTTGTTTGATGGTCAAGCACTCATCAGTACAAGGGAAACCCAGCAGGCTGCAGGACTATGGCTCGAAACACTGGGATGTTGGAAGGTGAGCAACGTCTACGGACATCCGTAGTGGTTCAGCCCTCTCTCTTCACCACCTCGCAGGGGGCGACCAGCACCGTAGGCTGCATTTGGGATCCACTCACCAGGTCCGAGCAGGGCCCGTCCGTCATGTGAGGCGACCTCCGTCCCCCGTCCGCTCTGTTACTTCTGCTACTTGCATAGCACTTGGTGACTTATATAGTTACAGAGATGGCCCCCCCAGCGGTGGTAGATGAATTTTGCTTCGTTCCTGAAGCCCCAGCTCACACGCTATCTCTAGGCGGTCTCTGCCAAACTCGTGCGGGGCCCCGGAAAGATTCAAGCCGTCTGGCTCCGAGTATAGGCAAAGTGAACGACACCTGCAAGGCGTTTTTGTTTGTGGTTTCTTTCTAATACAGATATGCCGATACGCCTACTGAAACTCTGGAAGAATCAGCTGTTGATTCTTGAGTTCCCCAAAAAGAGCAGCTCAATCCATCAGCTTTGGTGCTGAAACCTTCCGTCTTCGGCCTGGCCTCGTTCGGCCTGAGGGTGATGCCGGACACCATGAGTCGCTGGAGGCGAAGAGTCGCGGGCGTGGCGAGGTCGGCGCGCTGTTCGAGGGGTCGGGACCCCGGGTGACAGGACTCGATCCGAGGTTGGGAGGACCCGGTTTTCCCCCCGTGTCTGGGTGATTTTGGGGGTGACGAATCCGCCTCTGGCATTGGTCCGCTTGGCATGGCGCATGGCGCTTCAGCTTTCTTCGGCCACGACTGGTGCCGACCGAAGGGGGTGACGAATCGGAGATGACCCATGGTGGCGAAATAAGAGGTGACCAAGATCAATCAGATTGGTGAAGGAAAGGCCCAACGGGTTGACATGGTATGTTATTCAGGCGTGCGGCGTACTCCAATCATTCGTCCATTTCCATCCATTTTCCCTTCTTCCTTTGGTATGTGATGTTTCATGCCTACATACTCCAATATTTTGGTCCGTTTTCATCGGTTTCCCGGTCATATCCTTCGGGTATGTTTCAAGCTTTCGTCACATCCAGGCCCTGCGCTGTGGGCTGCCGGGGCACTCGGAGCACCTGGTGGGCTCGGGTTCTCCAAGCAGTAAGTCGGGAACAAGATTGTCAGTTTATTGGGTGGAAACTCCCTGCAAGAAGGAGATGCTTGAACATCTATTCACCTGCAGAAGCCGGACTCTCAGGGATATCTTAAAAAAGTAGTAAGCGGACGCATGTAATCCTATATATAGTGCCAGGACGCATTTACCTTCGCCTCCTCAATCATCATGGGGATTATCGTTTTAAGGTTTAGGTTTTGCACCGTTGTTCGCATGGAATTGCTGAGAACTTGATCATGGTTGAACGTAGATATTTTGATTAACAGTCAAACGTTGTAATATTTCCGTCATCGAATCACCAGCACAGCTTCAAATGCCGAGGAAGTCCCTGTCAGATTGCTAGCTCTTGCGCCGGGGGGGGGCGCTCCGGACCCGGGGCAAGGCATGCGAACTTCCCCATCTTCCCCATGCACTCGCTCCGCGACCACGGGAGGTCGCCAACCCCGACAGCTGGGAGTTGTGATTTATACGGGAATTGGTGGTGTTTTCTCCAAGTGCTTTGAGGGGCCAAGCCTGACTCCCGCACCATTTTCCTCCTGTCCGGTTTGTCGGATGCCCGGCCCGCCCGTGGCTGACCGGCAAGAGATGGTGACGTTTGTAGCAAATCCTTCGATTTTGGAGCATGTAATATCCACTTCCAAGAGCAGTCTCATCTAGATCTGCATCATTCAGCATCACGCTTTTTTCAAGGAATTCATCAGGATTGTGGTTACTCTGCTTTTTGGCAATCCTGAGGTAGAAGGGTAGACATTACCCTCGGAACCAGAACCACCCCATTTTGGACGTTCCGAGATCTCTCCCAGCGCATGGGATTTGGGGAGTCGAGCTGCTCACCACGACCCGGGTGGTGTTGGTGGAAGACTGTTTTCCTTTTTTCCCGCACGGACCTAGGACATCAGTGCTTTCGGAGTACAAGCCTGCCGACAAGGCGGCGGATCCTGGTGAGACGGATGCTGGCCTAGGGTGGGGGGGTGACTGAAGCCCAAGCCCATGGGGTCACAACACCCATATCCACGAAAACCCAGGTGCATGTTGCGCGGGGACTTGCTGGATGACTTTTACCCACACCAGCACTTCTCTTTCGGGCTCCAAAAACGATTCGCTCACTTACGAAAAACGACTCTCACCCAGCCTCAGACCAGCCGACGCCCACGAGTGGTGCCACACGTTTTCAAACCCGCTTGGAGCCCATCAAAAAACCAACATAAAACGTTCATCCGTTTGGAGTGGCGTCTCTTTCGCATGTTGCCACGGGTGCGCACCTGGCACCTGGCGCGTGCTCTGCGCACCAGGCCTTCACTCCTCGAGGTGGGTGCTAGACCGGAGAGTCGACCGATGGTTGAAGATGGTGAGGATGAGATATGTTACAGTGGTTTCAGAGTAGATGGCACTGGCACCCCTATTTTTTTGTGTCTTAGACAGATGGGGTGCCATATAAACCACCTTTTGGGGATTGTGCCATCTACTCTCAATCCACTATAGGTTTAGATATTGGTCATAGGCAAGTTGCCATTTTAGAGATCACGGTGCAGTTTATTTTTGGATGTGGTGGCAAGGTGGCAAGAGATACCGCGAGAATCGCCCCATCAAACGCAGCTACTTGGCTAGGAGCATGACATCATGAGCTTGTAGAGGTCCACATGCTTTTCTGCACATTTGCTGGGTCCAATCACAGGTCATTTCAGAAATCCCCGAGTTCTACGGAACAGTTGCAGGAAACTGTTCGGGACCCATTGTTTCAGTTTCCTGTAGATTTTCCCTTAAACCAATCAATTTCGGAAAGAGACCTCGTTCTTCTTGGTCCCGGCACGGCCGCATGCCCTTAGACCCGCCGCACGAGGGACGCGAGAATCAGATCTATGAAGCAAGGGATGAAGCAGAAGTGAATCGAAGCAGAATGAGGGAAACGAAAAATAAATCTTCTTCTGAGTTACTAATGGCGATGGCCACCTTAGTAGCGATGGCCTCCAACCAAAACGCGATGGCCTCCAACCTAATCTGCCTTCATGATGGGATTTGTTCCAAACAATGGCAAAACACAGCGGATGTTCCAAATGATGAGAACTGCGGATGGAAGAGCTCTGCGACGCACCACGCATGTGACGTTGCCGTTCTTCACCACGGCAGGGAAGCGCACCACGTCTTCACGAGTTCAGGTGGGGTGAGAGAGCCCAGCGCCTGGGAGTGAGTCGTATGATTGATGAAAACAGGTGCCACCACGGTCTGGCCATGAGAAATGTCAGTTTGCACATCAAGTCACACTCTGATCTTGGTTGGAAGATATGTTGAGATTTGCCCCTGATTGTCGAGGATGGACCTCAGTGAACATCCATCAAAAGAACACCCGTAGAACAGCATCGATCGCTGGGCTCACGGAATTTTATGGTTCTTGAGATTTCTTGAAGTGGCTTCCAAGGTTGACCAAGAAGCAGGAATTAGATGTGAGCCTTTGCAACAAGGTCTGACCTATATGGTTGGACCATCTCATGTCACAGGTCACACTGGACATTTCGGATGAATCTTGGTCTCCGTCGAGGTGTTCGGCAGACCTCGGATCCCTGGGTCTTGCTTGATCATCATCCAAGGTCTAATACTTCGCCCTTCACCCTTCACCCCTGAGAAGTGGACCTCGAATCAGACAAGGCTTGACCAGTGGACCCCTAAGGAGGTGGACCTGAAACGGCGGGGTTTTCCGATTGCTTTCCGTCCACGTCCTCCGCGCGCAGGAGACGCCCGAGGCCCGAAGAGTGATCCGTTTCGACACGTGGAGCGGGGAACGTGCACAGGTCGGTCGGAGCCCAATCGTTTTGGTTTAGCTTTCTGTCACGAAGGTGCTGTCGGCACAAGGGGTTGACCACCCAGGATGACATTGGAGCGGGTTGACCAGGAAGGTGCGGCACCAGGTGGTCTCGCCGTCGGCACCGATCCACTCGCACGTGGGGCCTCGGCGTCGGCAGGCACGGCAGATCCTGGCGAAGCCCCACTTCGCCTCTCGGCAGCGGTATGGGGGAACGAGACTGGGACAGCACGGTCTTGGGACGGCTAAGGTATGCAAAAAAACACACCAGGACCCTCCAACAGGCTGTGTGGAGACCCTAACAGGTGGTTTTGGAGGGTGCTGGTATATACCAGCACCACGGAAGGGGTGGTTATTGGATGAACAAGTACATTTCGGAAGAGGGGTGGCCATCAACCGCCCTTTGCTCCGTGGTGCTGGTATAGATTGTCATGGCAATTCCTGTTGACCCCTTTCATGGACTGTGCCTCCCATCGTGGGGCTCGAGCATCAGCACGGGGTCCCCTGGGAGGTAGATCCGCTGTTGGCCTGTTCGCCCGATCCGCAACGCCCGACGCCTTGCGTCGGGAGAACGCCCCAGGGACCGGGAGTCTCTTGAAGGGTTTACACCGGCTGGTGTCAGCCAGTGGGTGTGTATCAGAGACCTCCCAGTTGCCGGAAGAAGGGGCCATATATATTCAGACCAGTCCGACCCAGCCAGGGCCGGGTTTCTCCCGAACATACACAGCCACATGGGGGCTCCGGGTTCGGTATAGGTCCCGAGGTCGCTGGACCGAGCCGGATGTTGGCTTCGTTCGTTGGCTTCGTTCGCATCGGTCGCACCTTCTCCAGTGAGCTTGTGGCCCCTAGCGTTGGGTCTCAGATCGCCAGGATGGGCAATACCTCTCTGCTGCGAAGCTGCCAGTGGAAGGCGCGCCCCTTCGGTTTTTTTTATATCCGACCGGGCGTCGTTTCCCGTGGCGGCCGCGTCGGAGGAGTCGTTGGTCACGAAAGGTAGCGGTTACGCTACCTGAGTTTTCCTTTTGCTTTAGCAAAAATGTATTAACCCAGAGCTGCAGCCTATCTCTCGGAGAAATGGTCCCCGACATCTTCGTTTGCTGGCCGGGAGGGGGGG